GTAGATGCAGGAATCAAGGGCTTTCTTTCAATTTAATTCCCTTTCAAGGCATCCAGATCAACAGACTATTGTCCAGACAGCTAAGGGTGAATTTACTGCAGCTCATCTCACTGATGGCTTCTCTCACACCCTCTGCTTCTTCCCAGCATCCTGAGATAAACATGTATGTGGGCTGAGCTGCCTTACATTTACTGAAGGGTAAAAGTAGGTACACAACAGTATACCTTCTGCTCTTTATTTTCACACTTTAAGTTACCTCTTCTTAAGACAATGTTGTAGACCTTTGCCTACACACCAACCATGTCCTAGTTAACCATACAGATGGTGTATTTAGCGCACTGTGTTCTCCTAGGATGTGGACATAGTTCTACTGAGAGAAATGTCTTAAACAGTACAGCTCATTTTCATAGCTAGAAAGGGTATAAATGACTGTCTTTTCTTACATAATTCGCTGTTTTCTCCCACTCTTTACCTCCATTAGATCTTGCCTCCAGGAACTAGGAGGCATCTATTTCTGACTGCTAGCAATCTACTAGTTGGTAGGAAATTACTAAGGAAAACGCAGATGCTGGTGTAGCCCTTATCCTTGTGGATGACTGGTTGAGTAGTTGATGCTTCTCAAGCCTCATAACGAAAGATGGATTTATCTTATCAGACCTTAGAAGCTCCACTCTGTGAGTGTTGGCAAGCTGGACAAGTGTTCATAGAATCACAGAATCACAGGGGTTGGAAGGCATCATCAAGTGTAACCCCTTGCTACAGCAGGTACACTACAGCAGATTGCACAGGTAGGCATCCAGATGGGTCTTGAATATCTCCATAGAAGGAAACTCCATCACCTTTCTGGGCAACCTGTGCAAGTGCTTTGTCACCCTTATTTTAAAGAAGTTCTTCCACACATTTGTGTGGAATTTCCTATGTTCCAGTTGTTGGCCATTGCTCCTTCTCCTACCACTACAGACCACTGAAAAGAGTCTAGCCTCATCCAATTGCCTCCTGCACTTTAGATGCTTATAAACATTGATCGGATCTGCATTGGAGAGGCATGGGTACACTTAGGACACAGTTCCCTTGAGCTATATTCAGTATTTCTTTGGGCCAAGAAGGATCAAGCTTTGCATTTCGGTGACTGCACTGATGAGACCTGACTCTAGTATGAAGGGGTAGATGGTTAACCAGCTGAGAACTAGCTATTAGGTCAACTAAATCACACTTGAGATATCAAAATAAAAGGACAAGGACGTTCCAATGTTACCTTTACCCTAGTCCCAGAAAATACTCTTGGAGCCAGCTTGTCAGTGTCCTGATCCTCTGTAGGGTGACAGATGGATGGCTGTCTAAGTCATTTAGCAGAAAACCATGCTTTTCTCCCTGGAAGCCTTCTTCTGTACCCACCAGTCCCTCATGCTGGCCAAAATAATTGCTATCATGCTTCACACACACTTAAATAATGAAGAGCTATTTAATGGACTGCTCATAAGGATAACAAAAAAACACCGCTTGCCTGAAAATGGCTTAATTGTTTTCTCCCAAAGAAAAATTCTCTTTTTCGGAGAGCAAAATTATTCCACAGACTCTCCTACTACTTCAGTAGGAAACCTGAAACAGATAGCAGCCGAAATCATATAAGGCAATCCAAGTGTAGTTGGATGTGGGCCACCAGATGATTCTTCTGGCCTGCTGCCCTTCTCCTGGGAAAGGCAGGGAGCAGATGTTGTAGCAGCACATAATAACCAAACAGCTGGGAAACTTCTTCCATACTTGGCATTCCAAAGGGACATTCCATAGTGGGACTTCTGTTTTTTTTCAGGTACGATTGTCGTAAATTCTGAGAGTTCTTGAAGGGATCTGGTAAATGCTTTTTGGTTGTTTTGTTTTCTGTGGAAGGGTTATTTATTTCTGCAGGATTGTTTTTCTTGGGATGAACAAATATTTTGCTGTGCAGGTTTGGGATACAGAAAAAATGGGTTCTGATGAGATTCTTCTGAGTAGTATTTAGCATCTATGTCTGATTTATTTACTCTTGAAATTATTTATACAGCATGGAAATCTAGCTTGGGGACTTATCCTTCGTAAAAATCCAAAGTAGGTGCAATGGATGACATAATGAAAGCACTTCTCTGTCTTTAATTTAAAGAATGCACGAGGTGATTAGATTTTTAATTCATACTCTTTTTTCCAATTATATTTAGCAAAGTTACTAGAAGCTGGGAGATGTGGCTACGGAAGTTGGTATAAAAGGAGAAAGAGAAAGTGCAAAGCAGAGCTTTTGAAAAGTCTAGATGATTATTTGGACTGTTCCACAATGCTTCCACAGAGCTGGATGCATTCATAATGTGCCTATGCATTCTTTGCATTCTTTTCTCAGGAGAAGGCACCTATGCAGCCATGGGGCTGTTATGATCCCAAGGGATAAAAGCAGGGCTGCCTCATGCAGTGCTTCTGCCTCTGGACTTACATCCCCTCAGCCTGCTCCACACAGGCTGAGAGCCATAGGGACTGTAACATACAAGTGTGTAACTGAGTCACGGATATTCACATTGCATAGGTAATGGATTTAGTTGCTCCTCTGCATAAATTGCTTGGTTTTTATTTTGCTCAATCTGAGAAAAGGGTAAAGGCGAGGCAGATTTGAAATGAATTTGTATTCTAAGAAAGATGGAAGACAGAAAATGAAGGTGAAGGGTTCCCACTTTGGGAAGAACAACAGTATTGATATCCTAGCACTGGGAAATACTGAGGTGATTGGAAGAATCTTATCTGTGGGCAGTTGCTCCTACAACACTGGAAATATGTTGGGATGCAAGTTCCATACCAAGTTCCTGACTTGGATCTGTGGGTCCTGAGAGAAGTATGGTTGACAGCTGCAAAAGCAGTGTGAGACAAAGTGTTTTCATGGGATATCCTGCCAAAGGGATCCACTACTCCTGCTACAGCTGTTCAGATTCTGTTATTGATCATTTCCCAGATCTGGAGAGGTTTTATCCTTGAATGCTGCTCTCCGTAGAAGGGAACAGGGACAGGACACACAAGATGGACCCCTAGGGGACACCACTTATCACTGGCCTCCACCTGGACATAGAGTGGTTGACAACAACCCTCTGGCTGTGACTATCCAATCAATTCTCTATCCACTGAACGGTCTATCCTTCAAAACCCTTATCTTTCCCATTTAGAAAGGAGAGGAGGACATCCTTTCCATCAGCTCTGGGTGGATGTGGGCCAAACGTCCATCTGCAAATGCCATTTAGAAAACACTGCTTAGAATGAGCTGCAGTGAGCTGCAGGGCTATGAGGGGCTGCAGGGCTGCCATGGGCTGCAGGGCTGTGAGGGGCTGCAGGGCTGCCATGAGGGGCTGTTGGAATGCAGTGAGCTGCAGAGCCATGAGGAGCTGTAGGGCAATGAGGGACTGAAGGGCTGCCATGAGAAGCTGTAGGACTGCAGTGAGCTGTAGGGCTGCCATCAGAGGCTGTAGGGCCAGAAGGGAGCTGCACCCCAGAGGCCCTTTTGTTGTCTCCAGAGCACACTGGTGGACTCACATCCACCATGCAGCCCCAGTGCCCCTTCTGTGGGGCTGCCATTCCTCATTCTGTGCATACATCCAGCACTCGTTCCCATTAAATGTCCTGCTTCGCTTCCCCTCAGGTCCCTTTTGTCACTTCGCTATCGACTCTGCAGTCTGGGAAGAAGCTGCCTCACCTCACCTTGCACTTGCACCTCTTCCCATCCACGGGCAATGCCTGCCTCCATCCACCCCATCACCCCGTTCTGCCGAGCCTGCCCAGCTAATTAAAACGAAATCAAGCGGCGAGGCAGCACAGATGGTGATGAGGGGACAGAGAGAAGGAGAAACCGGGAGAGGTAGAAGGGGGAAAAAAAAACATATCAACAACTAAAAAAATACAAAACAAACGGGGGTGGTGGTGAAGTGCTTGATTTAAGAAACTCGATTTAATAAGCACCCCGCCTCCCTCTGCTCCTCATTGGTGCCTTCGTTCTCCTCCATATTAATGAAGAAGCCGAGGAGAGGCGATTGGCTCCGCTTCCCTTTTGCTTTCTTCAGGCACTCGGGGGAGGAGGTGTTTGCATTTCTCTGCAGGAGCAGCTCGTTTTGCAGAGCATTGTCTGGGTACGAGAACCGCACGCACAGACAGACAGATAGATAGACAGACACACAGCGGTACGGGGGGAGCACAGCACAGCCCCGACCCGCAGGCACACAGCATCCGAGCCGGCCGGAATCCCCTTCTTCCCCCCTCTTCCCGAGCGAGAATAACACTCCCTTAAAAAAAAGAGAAAAAAAAAAGAAAAGAAAAAAGAAAAAAAAAAGATTCTTCAACCCCCCCATCTCCTCCCCATCCCCCCCCCCAAAAAAAAAAAAAAAAAAAAGTTTGCAAATCTCCGGCTTGCCTTCTTGCCTTTTTATTATCATTATTATTATTTGGATTTAGGGATGGCAAATTCCTTCACGGCCGGGACCTGGCCCATCCCCTGAGCAAAGCAGCCTGGACATGACCGGCAGGCGAGGGAGGAGGAATTGTGATTCCCTCCGGAGGCTCCGACCCCTCCCTCCCCCCCTCCTCTCCTCCTCCGGCCGGTGCGAGCCCGGCGGGGGCAGCCCGGCTCCGGCCGCTCCGTTCCCCCGGAGCAGCTCCGCGTCCCTCCGGCCCCGCCCCGGCACGGCACGGCGGGATGCAGCATCTCCAGCACCGGGACGGATCCCTGCTGCAATGGTAAGTGCTTATCTCCGGCCTCTCCCGGGCTGGGGAGCCGCTCTGCTCGGGGATGCCCGAGAGCAGCTTCTTGAAGCAGGCTCATTTCGGAGTGACAGTGATTTATCGGCTTCTCCCTGATTTTCCCCATGTCCTGAGAATGCTTTTTTTTGGGGGGGAGGGAGGGTGGGGGGGGCGAACGGCGAGCAGGCTTTCTGCCTCCTGCCAGGCTCCGAGAATGCGGCCGCCAGATAGATGGGTTTCTTTCGGAACGAATAAATCTCCCTTTGCAAGCGGTGACAGGTTAACGTGCTTGGTATGGGGATCACGTCTGATTTTACCACAATATGGCTGGTAAATAAAACCTGATTGCTAACAGACCCGCTGTTGGCATTTTCAACCTCTACGCTACCTTTGCAGTTCTGCATCTTCACCTGCCACACAAACTCCAGTTCACCCTTCAGCCGGTGCTCCAGGACTTTTCTGTTTTTACTGCGGGGTCGTAGTAAAAATTGCTGTTAATGTGGCTTTGACCTCTGCTTGCATGCTTCTGGGCACTTCTCCTTATCAGCATTGGAACAGCTGGCTCTAATACCAGTTTTATGCACTGCATATCTTAAGGGAGAGGGGTAGGCAGACTTTTTTGCATGCGAACAGTTCAGGTTATGTGCTGGAATCTGGAGAGTTCACTGCTAGGGAGTGGATAATGCAGCGTGGTGGTCAGGTGTGGAAAATGCATGAAAAAAGAGAGAGACAGATGTGTTTGGAGACGTAGTGGTGTTTGTGGCGAGATGATCCATCCCGCTGACTTAGGAGTACATTGGGAAGAACTCCCTGGGAGTCAGTAGCTTTCCTCTGCATCTGATCTGCTGATAAACAGGACCTGGCCCTTAACGTGAAGCATTCATCGGAATTGCTCTGTAGGTAATTATGATAGTAATAAAAAACAGTCACCGAAACGAAGAAGGTGGCAAAATGACCTGGTTCTTTCTCAGGGCATTATGGAGTGCCATCCTTCTTGTGTTTGCTAATTACAACGCATGTGTTGGACCGATGCTGTGACAGGCAATGTAATTGAAGATGTTTTTTTTTTTCTCCTATTTGTTGTTTATTTATTTGCTGTTTGTTTTAATCTGTCATTGTCAACAAACAACAAATAGATTTTCGTCTGATGTTATTTGGGTCCAATAGCCATCTCGGTGCTGTGTTCTGCCTTTGCCAGTCAGGAGATGTTTCTGTGGTTAATCAGAGTGAATGTATGATTGCCTAAGATTGCTGTCAATGATAGCAGGAAGGTAAAATCCTTAAAGTGGTGTTGATATAGCTATGGATAAATAATTATCCATATGCATTATACAAGCATCCTTGGTTGATGTGAAACACGCTGGAGCTGCCTTGAATGAAGTTGTCCTGAAGGACGAGTAAAGCAACGCTGCTCCAATTTGATGGATAATTAAGGAATGCTATTCTGTGCAATAACAGCAGTTGGATTAAAGTTGATGTCTGCTTGTACCCTTGTTGTAGCTCTGGCTGATGGTTTTCTTACTGTTCCTATCGCTTTTTTTTCCTGTCTGTATGTTCTGAGAACAGGGGATGCTGCTTTGTTCAGTCAGGACAGCTGTGATTGTTCTGTTGTCCTGGTGGCAATCTATCTTGGCCATCACAGAGAGCAGGGTTTGTGTTGTTTTGTTTTCTCCAACCCAAGGCATGTGTGCAGCGACTGGAAGGATAACCATCGGCACTGAGCAAGCTCAGAGGTTGTGGGGGGCTTCTCAGAAAGCCAGTTACCTCAGACAGGGACGGGTTTTGTGCTTGATTCTTGGCTCCAGCCTTCCATTGGGGTTCCTGTGAGTAACCTTAAATCTCCCTGCAGATTTATGATGTCTGCTGTTTTCATGGCGGTGCCACAGCCGCCTGTAGCTCTGCTGATGTCAGTATGCATGCGAAGCTCATCAACACGAAGGCAGAAGCTTTGTTGTAGGATGCTACCAAGGAGAGAAGCTCAGAGATCTCTGAAATGGTCACATTTAGACTTTTTTTTTCATTGCATCTCTCTTAATTTGGCTGAGTGAGCCGGCATCCTGGAGATATTTTTTCTGGAGTTGAGTTCCATATGTGCCTACGCCTTTGATCAGTTGAGCCCCATGTCCCCAGGCTGATTCATTTCAATATAGCAGATTTTGTTTTTCTTTCCTTCCTTCTGAGCACACTTAGTACAAACAGTCTAATTCCTAAATTAGCTCAGTTTATCTTCTGATGAAACCAGAATATTTGAGTTAAGAAACACAGAAAAAGTAAACACATGACACCATCACACTGTCTGTCATATATGACTGAAAGATATGCAGAAATATCCCATTTACTCCCATTTTTTTCCCCTGTGATTCTCAGGAGAGGTAAGCTGATGGCAGAATATAGCAGTCAGTGGAGATAAAGGGTTTACTTCACCCCAACACTTGGCCCAGAAACTAACCTTTACATCAACAGAGTATGTTTTTGCATTGGTTTGTGTTCCTTTATTTCCATTCCCAGTTCTCCTTGCACATCTGACATCCAAGCATCCTGCATCACTTGTGAAGGCAGTAGAGATGTGAGTGCGTGCTGAACTCAACAGGATCTTTCCACACCGATGCAAAAGTGCAACACATCTACCAAAAGGAGTGTAAATGCACCAGTTAGAAAGTCTCTCTTTCATCCTATCCACGACTGCAGTCATTTTTACTGATAATAAGCGGGCAAGGATTGCTTAACCTTCATTCAGAGTGCTGCTATCCTATATACTTGGCGTCCCCTGATGGGATACATTTACAGCTCTGCTCTGCTCTTAAAGTGCTTTGCATACAGAAAGGTATTTGGTTGTCGAGGATCACTGACAAGTGCTAGAATTGTGGTGGCTGTTGAAACAGATTGGATTGTTGTTGAGTGGGCACAAATACATGAGAAGGAAGGCAGACCTTTTTCAGAATGCTTTGCTGGTTGCACACACACAAACACTTTGCATGTGTTTTATTCTCCGGCCACCTTTTGCTTTCACAGTTTGTCCATCCAGCTTCTTTGGCTTTAAGCTTTATCTCCACAAAACAAACTAAGAACCCTTGTAAAACAAGACAGATTCTCTGAGTCTTGTTCACTTAATTCACTTCAATTCGTTTGCACTCAAGGCCAGGCTGGATGTGGCTCTGGGCAGCCTGATCTGCTGGCTGGTGACCCTGCACATAGCAGGGGGTTTGAAACTAGATGATCATTGTGGTCCTTTTCAACCCAGGCCATTCTGTGATTCTACGATTGTATTCAGATGACGGCCTGATCTGTAGCATAACTGGATTAGTAATTTCAGGGCACTAAAGCATTCCATTTCCTTAAGGAAAAATGCAAACACTGTAGCGTGTGAAGCTGACATGGCTGTTGTGCTGGGAATATTCTTTTGGAAAGGAGCATAAACATAAAGGAGCAGTTGCAGGGACTGCTGTTTGATGCTCTGATTCTATGCTAGCATTGAATCCAAGCTCTCCTGACATAGTTGCACCTGAAATGAACTGATTGGCATTTAACATCAGAGTTTATCTGCCCTGGGGTCATCCCAGCAATCGCATTGCTGCTCATTCAGGTATCACTCTTGGGTGGGTTAGGATATCAGGGCGTGTGTTAGGGCTACGATCTCAAATTGCTCTGATGTATTCATTTGGCAGATTTTTAATTAATGTTTTTTAGAAGCGTGGACAATTCCACTTAAAATCAATGTTAAAAAAAAAAAAACCCACAAATTTTATCAACAATTCTGCTTTGCATTATTGTATTTATTGTATGTATATGTATGTATTGTATTTGCATTATTGTGACTCATAAGTCACCCTAAAACCAGCACTTAGAAAACTAAAAGGGGATAAGTGGTTGTATGGTTTAACTCTCCTTCCTAATAATAGTTCTGGGAACAGTGATTATAATATTTCTGTTTATAACATGTTGTGGATGGGAAATTTTGAAGTCTTAAGGGCTGAACAGGTAACATGGTGAAGGTTGGTTTGTCTGCTGTTGAAGTAGTCCACAAAAAGCCATTGTGATTAAAGAATGATGGGCCACAATTGCTTATGAGCTGCAAATGGAAGGATAATTATAGGCTGTTATCTGTGATTTGTTGGCCCTGCTAAGTACTGCTGAGGGTTAAGGAAGGAAAAGTCCTTTCCATCTGTATGGTGGGTTAATAGCCCAGGTTTTTATTCTTTGCTTCCTCGGGATGAGACGTTTTGCTGCTTTTTTCTCCCTCCAAGGACAAAATACCTGACTTATTGGGAATTCTTAAGGACAATGTCTCATCGAATGGAAACGTGGCAATATTGAGTTGCCCCTTTTCAGGGAGCAGGCGTGTAATGAGGTGTAAATTGCCCCACTCTCCATGTGAAATCATGGCCATAAGGGATCCCTTACTGAGCTGTCATTCATTTCACTTGGAGGAAGGCTTTCACTCACAAGTGTTGGGCAGTCGGGGCTGACTTCTGTCTATCATAGAATCACAGAATGGCCTGGGTTGCAAAGGACCACGATGCTCATCCAGCTCCAACCCCCTGCTGTGTGCAGGTCACCAACCAGCAGCCCAGGCTGCCCAGAGCCACATCCAGCCTGGCCTTGAATACCTGCAGGGATGGGGCATCCACAGCCTCCTTGGGCAACCTGTTCCAGTGCCTCACCACCCTCTGGGTGGAAAACTTCCTCCTCATATCCAACTTCAACCTCCCCTGTCTCAGTTTAAAACCATTCCCCTTTGTCCTATCACCATCCACCAATGTAAACAGTCTACTCTCACTTAAGCATCTGAAATCAGATGGGCCCAACCAGGCTAATCCCACACCCCTGTATTATCAGTGGGCAAGGTGCATCATCTCATCCCGACGGGGTCGGATGAATCCCTCTGGAGGGGTTCCTGCAGCACAGAGCTGTACATGCTGAATCAGCCATGCGGTCCCGTGCTATCTCAGAGATAACCCTCTGAAGGATAATCCTTCTCTTGCTCCCATCTTTGCTCACAAGGAAGACTGCTTTCATTTTTATTTTTTGCCAGCTCATAGCGATAGCAAATCATGCGAAAACGCTCCGTTTTCTGAACAGCCCAAACCTGCAGCTGTGACCCCCCAGCTTCCTCTCCCCCATTTTCCATTTAGCCACCTGCCAGCAGCCGCAGCCTGTCCATTGCAGGGAGAATTCATGCCGCACATCCCAGACAACACCTTATCTATTTGCAGGTCTTGTTTTTTGGGGGGACTGTTTTCGTTTTTAATTCACTGATCACTTTGGATCTCAGTTGCTTCCTCTGCATATTGACACTTAACATCTTCAAATTTCTAGGAGGGATCTGCCAG